AGAATGAATCGGTTGTAATTCATATTATAATTAACCATCAGAACTCTGATTCTAAAGCTTTTGTAATGAGAAGTGGAGTATTTGATTTTCAGAATTATCCATGGCCTTTTTGCTTTCTTTCTTTTTTTTTTCCCACTATACGCTAGCACACCAGATGGTAGAGAGGAAAACAGGACACTGCTTATCAAATCTTGGTAAATTGATCAATTAAGGAATAATTGTGGTGAAACTCAAATAAGTTGTGTTATATTTTAAGAGCTAAATCAACCACACTATAGGAAAATAATATGAATAATATGACTCTCTTCAAGCGCCAGAAAACTAGCAACTGAAATGTAATGTCATTAAGGACACTCTGAAAAAAATTCCAAGATTTACATTTAAAATAAACTGACCAGGAAAGGACTCAGGGAGTTACTGTTATTTATTTTACTAAGTTATCCCAGTTGCCTGTTTCAGATTTAAACAAACAAACAAACAAACACTTTTGGGGTCTTAAGCATCATCAAAAATAAGCAAAACATAATGGAAGTCATTATTCTACTTATGGAGAAAGCTATGGAGCCATTAGCTCTAAAATAGTGTAGTTCTGTTTTTTTCCAACTCTAGGAAAACATAGTGAAACTGGAGAAGGTAGTAAAGCAGCCACATTGACTGGTGAGAGGAAGACTCAAACCAAAACCAAACTTACTGCCATCGAGTTGATTCTGACTCTTAGAGACCCTCATTGGGCTTCTAGGGCTGTAAATCTTTACGGAAGTAGATTGCTTCTTCTTCTTCCCACAGAGCAGCTAGTGGGTTTGAACTGCCGACCTTGGAGTTAGCAGCCAAATGCCTTACCCATTAAGCCACCAGAGCTCCTTGGTAGGAAGAGTAGAAACATTAAATTTCTTAGAAAGGAATAATAGAATCTTAGAATTGAAATGGTATTTAGACATCATATATCCCAATTAGGAAACTCTGGTGGTACAGTGTCTAAGGCATTTGACTACTAACCAGAAGGCTGGTGGTTATGACCCATCAGCCACTCCTCGGAAGGAATATTGGGCAATCTACTTCTGTGGTGATATCACCTCAGAAACACAAGGGAGGGGTTGCTATGAGTCGGATCCAACTTCAAGGCAGTGAGTTTGGTTTGGTTTTGGTATATACCAATTAAGGAGCCCTAGTGGTGTAGTGCCTAAGACATTTGACTGTTAACCAGAAAGTTGACAGTTCAAACCCACCAGCCACTCCTCAGAAGGTAGGTTGGGCAATCCTACTTCCATAGTGATAACTGCCTCGGAAACCTAAGGAGGGGTTGCTAGGAGTCGGGGCCGACTCTATGGCAAATAACAACAAACTATTCTTTACGGTTACAACTCATTATCATTTACTCAAGGAGTCCTTCCTTCATCTCTTAAATCTAAACTTGATATCCTTTTAGTAATTCCCCAAGTTTTTCCTTTATAGAAAGTATCATAGTTTATAATTATGTATTTCTTTATGTGATTAATTAATGTCTGTCAAACCTCCAATAGACTGTAAGTTTCATGACTGTAAGTTTCATCGATATATTCACTGGATTTTCCTAGTATAATCATAAATATCTAATAAATTAATGATAGAAGGTTGCCATCTAAACCTCCCATAATGAAGCACTGAATCACTATATGGAAGAGTCTACTTGAGTGTTGGAAAATCTCACTATTAAAAAATTCTTGCCTACATTAAACCAAAAGCTGCTCTTTCTTGTCTGTCTTCTGATCCTAATTCTGGTCTCTTGAGCCATATTGAGAAAGTACTTCCTTTTCTCCTTTACAGCTTTTCAAATACTTCCAGTCTAGAAAGTTCAGACATGAGGAATTCCAATTATGGTGGGATAATTTCAAATTTACTAATAAGATAAAGAAAGATATAAATAAGAGGGATGATAGGGCATCTTTGGAGATTAAAAAGTAATGATTTTTAAATGATTGCAAGAGGTGTACAGGCATGAAACACAGGTAAGTGTGCTGTGTTTGGAATGGTTTGTTACAAACTGAGTGCTAACAGCTATAAATCTAGAAAGAAACAAACAAAACAGGAAGACATGAAGAAAGGTCAATAAATGACTACATAAATGGTTTGAGCAAAATAAAAACTAGCTCTGGTAATGTAGTGCCTAAGGCATTTGACTGCTAACCAGAAGGCTGGCAGTTCAAACCCACCAGCCACTCCTCAGAAGGAAGGTTGGGCAATCTACTTCCATAGTGATACCTACTCTGAAACTCAAGGAGGGGTCACTATGAGTTGGATCTGACTCGACGGCAGTGACTTTACAATTAAGCTGGTACATCCTAAAGTTAGAGGATTGATGCCATGAAATGCAACTATATCTTCCCATATCTTTTTTTTTTCTTCAATACATTTTATTATTGAAATGTAATTTATGTACAGAGAAATACACAAAACTAATGGGTCAATGCATTTTTTTTTTTTTTTTGCATTGTTCCCTCCCCTACCCTCCCACCCCTGGTAAACAGAAAGTTTCCTTCCATATATAAACCTTACCTTGACTTTTTACAATATTTGTCCTTCTGTGATTGACTTATTTCACTCAATGTTATGCAGTGTTTTGCAGAGTCTACATTATTCTTTAGTGTTGCATAGTACCCCATTGCATGTATGGATCATTGTTTGTTTATCCATTCTTCTGTTGATGGGCACATAGGTTATTTCCATCTTTTTGCTATTGTAAATAGTGTTACGATGAACATGGGTGTGCATATATCTGTTCTTGTCTTGACTCTCACTTCTTCAGGATGTTGGTGTTGTTATTGTTGTTATGTGCCATCAAGTCAGACCTGATTCATAGCAACCACTCCTTGGGTTTCCAAAGTGGTATCACTATGGAAGTAGATTGCCCAATCTTCCTTCCAAGGAATGGCTAGTGGGTTTCAACTGCCAGGCTTCTGGTTTAGCAGTCAAGTGCCTTAGGTACTATGCTACCAGAGCTATATACTTAGTAATGGCATTGCTGGGTCAAATAGTTATTTCTAATTCCAGCTTTTTAAGGAATCACTATACTGCTTTCCAAAGTGGTTGTATCATTTTCCTCCCATATCTCTTGATGGTTTATTGGCAACAGAACTCTGGATTAGATGAGCTATATTTCTAAGATTTTGAAATTAAAAATTTAAATAAAATCTTAGAATTACTGAGAACCAAAAGTATATTTTAGAATTTTATATTTTTGAATTACATCAATATAGTCACTATTTTTTTTAAAACTTTTATCCCCCATTCTTAATGAGAAAGACAGAAATTCAAAATTGGAAAGGTCTTTCTGCTCAGAAACTTATCAGATGCTCCTCTATTACATCTAGGCCAAGTGGCTATCCATTTAATATTGAAATGTCCCCAGTATGACATAATGCAGAAAGACTTGGATTTTGAGTTTGGAGTTCTGGGTTTAAATTTCAGCTCAGCAATTTATTAGCTATGTAACTTTGAACAGGTTCCTTACTGTCCATCAGTTTCCTCATTTTTCAAACTGGAATAACAGGATGTATCTTTTAAAATTGTTTGAGAATTAAATGAAATACCATAATATGAAATATCACTTAGCATAATGCATACCATATAGCAAATGATCAATAAATGTTATTTTTCTTCCAGTGACAGAAAACCACTACCTGCCAAGACAGTCAATTTCCTTTTTGGACAGCACTGGTGACTATTCTTAAACTGTGTGGAACTAGTCCAACACTATCAAGTAAATAACATTGAAAATTTGATACTTAAGGTTATTTTAAGAAAAGATGTTCTTCATTGGTATTTCATTAGTAGTTTGGCTACTAACTGAAGTTTATACATATTTCTTAAGGAATCTGTCATTCAGAAATTACAAAATTTAATTTCTTTGATTAACCTTAAAAAATGTAAGTTACAATCATATTTTATGAGAAGCTTTGAAATGCTCCATTGTTGAAAATATTCCACTAAAACTTCCCTTTTCAGCAATGAAAAGAACAGAAGGTTACCTTCTAGTGTCTCAGGAAGGATTAACTGTGTGGGGCAATGATATTTTAAGATTAAATATATCTTCTCCCTATTTTTATTAATAATTAGTGACAAAAAATAAGACTACCAGAAGTTTTTGCTGTTTTACTAAACAACTAGATAATATAATAATTTAATTATTTAAACTTATAAAATAATTTCATAGAAAATTTCATTTTTACTTAAATCATAACATAGGTTACATAAATTAATTTGCTCATTTAAGCTATCAAATAGTATCACCTGCTTAAGACAACCCAGCACTCTGTAAATAAACTCACTTGGATACTGTTGATTAATTTACCATTTTACATGTTACATGGGTTCATTTGATAGAAAACATTTTGGCTGCTTTCCCCATTACAGAAGGTCTGGTGGTACTGTGGTTAAAACATTGGGCAGCTAACCAAAACGTTTGTTGTTTGAACCCACTAGCCACTTCATAGCAGAAAAATGGTGCAGTCTGATTCTATAAAGATTTACAGCCTTGGAAACTCTGTGGGGGCAGTTCTACTCTTATAGGGTCACTATGAGTCGGAACTGCCTGTATGACAGTGGGTTTGGCTTTGGTCTTTCCCATTATAGAAGATAAAGTTCTAACATCTGATTAAAATATATATGAAGCCTCCTTCTTCCACAGTAATGTAACTTTAAACAAGTCAAACTTTATTTAAGAAATGGAATTATATTTTCTAGTTAATAATCTCTTGCTTTATTCCAAACTATCAAATCTAAAGAAAAATTACCTTTAAACTATTCAACTTATGATTTAATAACTTGTAGATTTTAAAGAATGAACAATGTTAGGTCTTCTTGTTCTTTTTTTTTTTTTTTGGCAAGAGAAACATCCAAATTGAATTTTAATTTGTAGTATACAAGAATTATTATGCATTTTTAAGTACAGATTATGGCTAATATGATCCCTAAAATTGTTTACATATTATTAAAAAAAGAGTAAGAGCATAAAAGAAGCTTACTGTTTCACCAATTTTTCCAATGTCTCCTGGATCTCCTACTTCTCCCTGTTAATAAAGAACATTAAGTGGCAAAAAATGATTATTTTTCAAAAAATATGGCTCATAATTTAATTTTAATTTTGAATGGAATTATGTAGTCATAACTTAGAAAAAGGCTTAGGAAACTGTCACAGTATTTTTATAAGACGTGGTCTTCTATTTACATCAAATTCTAATTACCAACTTACCTAAATTACTTTTTTGCACTCAAGACTTAATCATTTTAAAACACTTTTTACAAATACAATTTGAAAGAATAAAATATTGTAGTTCACTCTGTACAAGGTAGAGGGGTGGACACTGGGAAAGGTACTAAGTAGAATAAAAATAAAATCTTTATTCACAGGAATGCTATATTTGCTTGAGGAGATAATTTACCTCACAATTCCAAGTAGCACAGAATAACCAGACAGGTAAGTAAGTATTAAAGGAGGGGAGGCACCCTATGGGCTGTAGTAGCTAGAGTTAGAGTCACTGGAGAAGTAATGTATGTCAATAAACCATTAATCATGATTCCACAGCCTGTACAGCTCTGAAAACAGTTTTTCACAACTTATTTAGTGGAAAACTTGACCTATCTGAATTTATTTGGTGGCAATGTCTTACCTGATATGAGTGAGTCTACATATGGGAGCTCTGGTAGTGTAGTGCCTAAGGCACTTGATTGCTAACCAGAAGGCTGGCAGTTCAAACCCACCAGCCACTCCTC